TCCAACCCAATAGCAATGGCCTCCAACCTAGTAGCTTCTTGCTACTACTAGGAAGACGGGACCTCGTCGCTCAGATCTTTGGCACCTTTCGCCGCTGTGGGGAAGTGGTGAACTGTGCCGGGAAGCCGGCTTCAGCCTCGGTGTGCAAGAGGGTGGGACATGGAGCGCAGTTGAAACCTTAAGGATCCATTTGCTGAGAAGGTAGTTAGTCCAGCACCTATAAGAAGGTCTCCACCCTTTTTGAGGGTATCTGGATCCTTGGATGCCTTGGAAAGACTTGTTGGGACATCGTCCATTGTGGTGATGGTAAACCAACCCAAATGAGCTCCACCAATGTCAACCTGCAAAGCCTCACCAATCACCACCGTTTTTTGGGAACTGGAAGGGAATGACTAATGATTTGTTCTCTTAGACTCCACGTGAGACCCAAGAGCACGGACCAACAGAACATACAACTATATAATAAGCAACTAAACATCGATCTATATACCAAATGGCTCTCGCGCGCGCGAGACGTTTTTGCATTGTCAAAGCTGTTGCAGTGCCGGCCCATGGACGCTTGAGCGACCATGGCCAGAACCACGAGACTTCGTATCATTCGTATTCGAGATTTGGAAGACTTTGGAGGGTGCCTCAGTGCCTCGTTGGTGACCTTAACGACGCTGATCGTGCGAAGCATCACGGAGATGTTCCGAGATGCCCCGTCTCCCACGAACGGCATTCCTTTGAAAGGGGGGCCCTTGGGAATTCGACGAGAGGATCGTCGGGCGAAGACATGACCAGGACGTGCGCAACTGGCGCACCCCTGGACGGGGTGCAAATTAATGGTGTTGTGGTCCGTGCCGTTTGTCGTAGGCAGTTCTTGGGAACCCCCAAAACGACCTGATGGGTATGGTGGAAAAAGCCTCCACACAGGTGGTCGCCATGTAGTCGTCACCATCGGAATCATCGGTGAGGTCGGGAAAATCGGCCAAGTCTGAAGCACCAATGTGAAACACCATGCGAAACCGTGGGTGTTTCAGGAACCTGGATCCGGTTGAGGAATGGTGCGGGAATTCAACGACTGGGATGATTCAACTTGCCCAACAGTTCCTTCTTTGGATGGCTTTGCAGGGGCAAACCTGCTGATACCTTGCAAGGAGGGGCTGTAAGCCACGAGAAAAATCACAGAAAATAAAACACAGCACTAAAAGCACCTTGCACCGATTTGACATGATCCGGACCGAGGTGGTTCCCTTCGCCACGCAGGAGGGGGTGAAAAAACAATTGTTTCCAGCGCATGTTCGGGCAATGGCACAAAGAGAATTTACCTTTTTCCCGAAAGTATCCTCAGACACAGCAATCTGAGATTGAAAGAAAGCCAGCTGGCTTTGTAGCACGTGTTCTTTCTCATTCATGTTGGCTGTGGATATGTCACCTGGATTGGTCACCCGATCAGGGTTCTTAGAGCATAGGTGGAATTCGGTGAGATTTGTGTCAGCCATCGTGGAGGGTGGTACCAGGGACAGGAGGCACAGGTCATGGCACGTCATTTGGGCAATGGCCACCGTTGTTCCACCGACACCCCGAGGAATGGAACAATTGCATGCCAGTCATGTGTGATATTTTTTTTAGAGGTTAAGTAATCCCTTTCTAGCAGAAGCATCCAACTAAGTGTCCTGGCTGGACTAGCCTCCACTACTTACACTACTATCTGGGTATAAGATGGTATCGTGTATGATAGGGTGTGTTTGTCACGCTTTTCATCATTTGCGACCGGACCGCGCAAAGCAAAGACGCTGGACCGCCAGATTCCCTGGATTGAAGTTGAGATGCCGCCGAACATGAACGATCTCTTTGGGCCTTTGGCCCGCAACTCAATGGCTGGGCGGCCTCCCAGTCCTTCAACTAGTAACAAGGCTTCTAGGCTGGAGGAGGCCATCGCTAGTAGGTTGGAGGCCATTACTACTAGTAGCAAGAAGCGACCTCCTGGGAGGTGCGGGCTGGTGAATTCGGCCCATTTTTGAGTGCCACGGATTAAGAAAAGCCTGGAGCCCTGGCTTATTACGTAGCTTGACCTATCGTTGGTAGGTCAATCAAGGTATCTCGGTTTTGCCCCACAATTATACGAATTACGCAGGTCCATTTTAGGCTTTCACCTCTAACAAACCCCACAGTCTCGCAGGGTCTGTGTTACGATTCGTCACTGGACTGCGGCCGGTACTGGGTGCCGGTTCCGATCAGGGCCGGTTTGTCGTCGGATCAGAGCAGTACAAAACACCGAGATCTATGAGATGGACATCTACAGCCTCAAGTTGCCCTCATCCGGTGCTGGGGCCTTAGGGCCTTGTGCTTGGTGGAGGGCTACACTCTTGGGGTTGGGAGAAAGATGGAAAAAGGGGGAATGGATGGGAATGGCGATGGAATGTGAGGCTCTGGAATGTAAGGGTTTTCAGCTACATCTGCACTGCTGCGCGTAGATGGCCAGCTCCCAGGAGCACTGGGATGGGACCCGATATGAGCGAAAGTCAACCCCACCCAGTGGTTCAGAATTTCAATCAAGATATCTTGAGGAGTTTGATTGGATTAAAGGGATGTGGTGAATAGAGGGATAAAGGTCAGGTGCAAGTCAGGCAATGATGTGAGCTTGTTATCAAAGTGAGGTGACCCCGAAATGATGAGGAGGGCATTGGATATATATATATATATATTGGATAATGCTTTTCATATCTAGTCGTTGTTTACACCATTCCATGCCCTCTCACCGTGACTTGCTGGTTGCCCGCGCTTGCCACACTTTCTGGTGAAAACACGCGAGGCTTTGCCACACCGGCTCATGGTGCAAATCATGAAGGATGATTCCACGAAGCCCCACTTCAGGCAGCGGATGGAAGTTTTGATTTACTCCCCTGCAGATTGACACGGACCCCCAAAACCACTGGGTTGTAGAGGAGAATGGTCCTTCACGGTCCATGTGAGTTTGCACGAGAGTATATAACTACGTAGCTATACGGCCAAAGGCAGAGACGGGGATCCGAGCTGGGTGTTGCCGATTTGGGACCTCGGGATCCGTCCAGTCCCAACCAAGATCGGAGCCAACTGTGATTTTCCGAACCTCTCGTAGTTGATGTTGACCAATCTTAGAAGGACATAGACCAAACCCATTGGTTGGGGGTCTCCCAATTAAAATACTCACCGATGTGCGCTGTGAAGCATGCATGCGGATGAAATTCAGAGTTTTGAAGCTTCAGACCATGATTGCAGCAGAACATGACACTCTGGAAGATCTTTGTGGCTTTGCTCTTCTATGATGGCCTGAGGGCATCGATCACACATTTGCTGGATGATCACAGATTTTCAGTCCAAGCAGTGGACGGTGACCTGACTGTGTCTCCCTGACAGAGCTGAACTCCAAAGTTGCCTTTAACTGACTGGAACTTGGGCCCCGGATTCTCCACAGTCCAGACCCCACCTCTCGACATGGCGCTCCCGCAGGGTGGCCACCGGGCGTTTCTACAACGCGTCAGGGGGTGCCCAGAGAATGCGTCAAAGTGACAAGCCAGCGAGCCAGCGAGTTACTAGCACGGCCTTGGACGTGAGATAGAAGACATTGACGGGCAGCAAGAAGAACATATTTATATAATCTGATTTATATAAGATCATATCATAGCCAGTTACGTTGTTTCGCTGTGATTATATCTTTCAATTGTGCACCGACCTCGTGATGTGTCCGGGTGGCTGTATGAAATTTAGTTGGACGACTAAGGTTGGCAGACTCCCGTCACGTAATCAAAGGTGTTGCAATCATTCAACACATAGATATATATATATATATACAATATAATGTCACCAAAAGAGAGTTCAGGAATTGTGTGACTTTCAACAGACGGCAGAATCATTGGCTAGCTGAAGTAGATGTGCAGACATGGAGGGGGTGACATAGTATCGGTATATGAGTCGCTATGAGTCTACAAGCTATATATATATATATATAACATTATATACCATAAATGTTTAAATATACTGCCTGCTACAATAACTATACTCATTTTGCCAATGAGTACGACCCGTTTTGACCAGTGCGTTGGACAAACTGACCGCACTTGCACTTGTTCAAACTGACCTTCCAACTAAAGACCTGCATCCCAGCAGGCACGAGGAGTTGGACCCAATCGGCCATCACAAGAGAACATTGGTTGGATGTTCGTGATCCAAATTTCTCATGTTTTGGGATCATATACCAGAGAAAGGATGGAACATCTTTGGGAGCCTAATAGCACTCTTCATTCTGGCTGACTTTTGACCTATCAGCACCATCAGCACCTAGACCTCGCCCTAAACCTAGGGTCTATTTGGCGGGGTCTCAGGCAGTGGATAGCTGAAACTCCTGAGCGCCAGGCCAACGCGAGAGTTCGCCACCATTGGGAGAGTACTCACGAGTCCACAGGCCAGGATTCCAGGATGGATTGGGCAAAAAAGGGCTTTGGGTAGCAGGACTCATTTGTTGGCGCACCGTTCGCCCTCCACATCTATGGTGTGAGCGGCCTCGGATGGTGTGACTCACTGCTCTCGATCTCCTGACGTGTTCGGTCTGAAAAGGGGATGCGCGGCCAAGAAACCTCGAGTGGCTCTGGCACATTAAAACAAGTGAGATCAGAGCCCAGTCAAGACTTTGGAGGATCTCATATGCACATCATCATGTAATTGAACTGCTCCCACCCAACTTGGAGACATTGCCCAAAGGCGTTGCAACTGTTGTTTTTTCTCAGCAGAAGGCTTTTCGACCGAGCTGCGGCTCAGGGGACAGTCTCGACTCCCAACACTGAGATTGTTCGAGGATCGTATCGGCTACGGCAGAGATTCCAAGGATGGAAACACAAGGAATGCCGGTCGATTCTAACCGATTCCCTCCAATTGCTTCGGCCCAAGAACGCCTCGGACGACCAGGGACACCGAGGGAACCAGTACTTTGCAGAAGAGCGTCTATGGTAGACAGATGACAGATCTACCTAAGACAACCAAGATCCAATGACGTATATTGCTCCGAATAATATGGCAATTCATGAAGTACATCAGTCCTTGATGGGGGGTCCCTTCTGCTTGGGCCTGGGAGGAAACCTCCCAGATCATTGAACATAAGTCCCATCTCCCTCATGGAATCTGGATCACGTAGCAAGAAGGCTTCTAGTAGTAATGCCCTTTGTTACTAGGAGCGATGCCCTTTGTTACTGGTAGCTTCTTGTTCCTAGTAGTAAGGCCAGGAGCTACTAGTAGCGTCCTTGTTCCGATGCCCTTTGTTACCGGTCGCATTAGCATTCACTGGTCGCCACACATCCCACACATCGCCACACATCCCGTCACGGCAGAATGGCCTGGAGCCCTTTGAGGGAGTTCCGACCCATGTGCTCTACGCCGATCACTTAGCGCTCTTCCGAAAGGTGAATCATTGGGAGGCGGTACTGAAGAAGAGGGGAGAACCTGGTGAAGCACTGTCCAGAAAGAGAGAGTTTTCCCTCTTCTTTATAAACTGGAATAGCATGGAATAGGGGCTCCTGGCCTTACTACTAGGAGCAAGGACGCTACGAACGGGGCTCCTGGCATTGCTACTAGGAACAAGAAGCCACGAACGTAACACCTTGCTTATATGTGCCAGCAACTCGCCTTCAGGAGGACATCCTGTATCACTTGATGTTGCCAAGCTATACAGCTATAGGAGATATTACTTCTTCGACCGTTTGAGGCTGACTCTCCTTCAGCAACCCATAACAGTGGATGGCAGTACTTGGTTGTGTACCGTTGTGCGCAACCAGCCTGGGGCTTGTTTAGACCTTTAGACTCGTTGCGACGTCTCGATCTCCGAGAGTGACCACTTCAAAGACACACTTCGTGCAAAAATGCACCGGTGGGAGCGATGTGGAGCGAGCGGAACGAGCACCGTGGGTCATCATGGCATGGTTTTTGTGGGTGTTGAAGCCCAATCCCACAGCATGATCAGGTGAGGACCCCAATCCTGAAGGTCCCTTTAGCTCCCTTTGGTGCCACACCTTTTGGGCGAACCGATGTTTCGAAATTCCAACGTTCAAAAAACAGTTCATCTCGGTCTTCGGGTGCAGAACAGAAGCTTTGTACACCAACGTGGTTCGCTCCGTCTCTACACACCGAGGCGAGGCGGTGGCCAGGTTCGGCCACCCCGCGACGCTCCGGTGGTCGCTCCGGTAGCTGAGGTCATGTTGCAGCTGGCGGTACCTCTCCGTGGTTTCGATCGCACTCAGCCGTGACCCTCAGGGGGCGGCCAGGGGGCCAGGTGACGCGAGCTTCTCGCGAGCCCCCCCCGTGCGCTCTCTATCTATCTCTCTCTCTCTCTCTCTGTGTCTGTGTCTGTTTTATTTTCATGGTTTGTCCATGTTTGTCCTTCGTTTTTGGGTCATCCATTGAAAGGTGTCCTGGACAGGTCTTGCCTGATGTTCTGGAAATCAATGTAATATCATTCTGAAATCAGACCCCATTTATGGTCTTCCCCTCCTTGTTGATGGTCAGATCTTTCTATACTGAAAAATCGGGTGCCATCCAAAGCCCCCCAAAGCAAGCATCTACGATGATGATCTATAGGTCCTGGTCATACTTTTTGAGACGGAACCTTTTCTGGGTCGTCATGCACATGGAAGGGAAACACCAACGTTGCTAGTAAAGGAAAGTGGTCTTCCAAGGGCCCACTTCTATGTGAGTGAGTCAGAGTGTAAGCTTTCCAACACCGAGGCCACCACCAAACGTGCGGCCGGACTCCTCCTTTGTGATCCAAGCGCCGCCGGCCTGGCTGCTCAGAGGTTGCCATGAGAGAGAAAGCCAAACCTTGGTTTAGCTGGGATGAACTCCAGTGGTTTTGGAGTAGATGGCACTGGCACCCCAAAATGACTTTTGGATGAGGGTCCATATAAACCTCCACACTTGGGGATCGCGCCATCTAAACTACACTCAATCCACTAGAAGACTCCCTTTTCAGGAGTGAGCAGGATTGCTGCTACCATGTCTCACAGAATAACCATTTCCACCAACCAAGCAGAAAGCTAAGAGGAGCTCCTGATGTTTTGCTGCACACTGGCCTGCCTCTCGGCCTCTCGAGCTGGCCTACCTCTTGTCACTGATCACCGTTGCCCTTGCCGTTCCCACGAAGTCAACCACCGGAAAGCTACTGTGAGAGACTAGGCTCGTTGTTGGATCTAGCTGATGGTTTCGGATATTTGTTTCTATATATTTTCAACCTCTACTTGGAATGATTGAACCCACTGACTAATATTTTTCAAGTGGATTGAAAGCCCCAACCAGGGATGAATTGCCCTGACATTGAGTTGTTGACTCACCAAATCGGTTTGAGGGGACCAGGTGGGCGCACAGCACCGGTGCCAGGTCGACCTCAATAGTACCTCAATTGATCTCAATGCTTCGGGGATTGAGCTTAGTCTAGTCCAGGTGGACCCGGTGGAGCCCGTTCCATGAATCTTTACTTCAAGAATGCCATTCGATTCTCGGATTCCTGTTCCAATTTCTCCACGAACTCGGTGCGATGGCGGCCAGACGGCACCCGCCGTCGACGCGCCCGGACGTACCGTACTCAGGGCTTTCGGATGCTGGAAGCTGTCCCGGTGATTCACGAAGGAGACCGGCTTGCCGAACGGAACGACCCCAGTCGACCCCCAAAAGTGGGCTTGAGTGTTTTGTGTGGAAGCTGAAGACTAATACACTCCGACGATCACGTCACATGGAAGTCGCGACACTCCTTCCGTTTAGGGACCATCCACTTCCATGTTCATGAGTCGGAGAGTAGTCTATTGTCCACATTGGTTTGGGGGAACCCAAGCACTCAGTTCGTGGTCCTGATGCAATGAAGCTCAAGTTCAAAGAGGGAGTGTCTTATTTCTTCACCTATGTTTAAGTGGGAGCCTTTCTTGACTCCGTAGCTTGGATCCATACAAGCTGGATTTGGACACTACAGATATATACAGCATATACCTTGAGTCTCCAATGACCCTTTTAATTTTGCCTTTCCAAGAAAAATATGTTTTTGAAAGAAAGCACTTTTTTTTTGCGTATGTCACGAAATGTTCCTTTTTTTGTTTGTGCCCTGTGAGATCCTCCTTAGACGGTGTCCTGAGACATTTTTTCGGTGTCCAAAACGCGTCTTTTTGAGTCCAAAAGGCGTCTGTAAGCGTCCGCACCGGACGCGTCCGGATGAAGATTCACATTGTACCTTTTTTTGAGTCCTCATCTCTGAAAACATCTGAAAACGTGCTTTTCGGGCAAAAACACAAAAACATTAGACCCAAAAAAAAAACGCTGAAAAAGGGTCTTTGGAGACTCAAGGTATATATATATATATATATTATAACTAATCATACCAGGGTCTTCATAACTATGCCCTTTTTCGCCAAAGGGCAGAACAAATACACCGTGGAAGGTCCAGGAAAAAATAACCAAAAAACTCATTTGACTCCAAGCATCGCATACAACGTGTTGGCAATCCAACAGGGTGCGGACGTCCCATGTGCCAACTCGTCTGGAACATTCATGGAATTTTGGCAACTCCATAGAAACACGATCGCTTCCATCCTCAAACCTTTGGCATTCTGAGTTAACGAACATAAACCTGCTGTCTCCTGCATTTTTTACAGGCAAGGCAAGTTACAAGTTGTTGATTCCTCTTCCTTTAATGGTGTCCGATGATTTGCGTGTTCTGATCTTTCTTGCTCCACAGACCGATCGATCTCGAGCTCTGAAGCGATGACCGTTTGCTTCGAGCCGACCCGAGAGACGGACTGAGACCGTTTGATCATTGCATCCTTTGCTTCTTTCTTGCAGAGGATTGCATTTCGTCTTCTTCTATAAGAGGACTTCTTATACATCCTTGGATTTGAAGTCGAAGCCCGGAGAAGGACGCAGGCGAAGCCACTTGTCAGAAGGGCCAGCAGCATGTGCTTGAGATGACCTTTCTTTGAAGCTGTCTGGGTTCACTATGACTCGCCCTACCCAACAAGCGCTCTGGTACAGGATCCTCGATCCAACACGAGCACTTGTCACACTGCTGGCCTGGTGTGGGGCACTCTGCAATGGCTTTTTAGCGGTACTGTAGTCCGCAGTGCCAAGGCGTTTGAGGCCAACCCACTTTGTGCCAAGTGGATGACAGTGAGACAATGGGCTAACGTGCTCACTGGGCGCCGCCTGAGTTGGTGTCATCACACCGTCTTAAGGGTTTGCAGGGTTTGGCGGGGAGGCCATGCCATTGGCGCTGGACCCTCGTGTTCGCGTGGTTGAACCTGCAGACGTCCTCGCAATGTGTATCACACGTCCATCAGTGCTATGGAAGTTGCATCTACCCAACAAATGTCTCAAAGTAGAGATCAGCTTCTGCAGGTAGAGATCTGAGAGGTCCTTCATCTCACGTGTGTGCGTGTTTAATCTGACTGGAGCGACCCGTAAGGAATAAGGGTGGCTGGATCCTGATGTATCTACAGGGGTGGTTCATTCCCTCATTCCCTACTAAGCACGAGTCTGTAGTTTAAAGAGAGATTCCCTGGCCCAATGGGTAGACTGGTCTAGTGCCCTTCTTCGTTGCCTGGCAGGGAAACCCCTCTAGTTGGTCACAGTCCTCACAGTTGATCATCAGCCGAGCATTCAACATTATCTGAGCGCGGTTCCATACTCCGCTCATCGGAGTATTAACCACATAGTCCGTCTCATGGGTTTCATCCGCTCATTCGCCTTGATCGGCCGTGAACGGGTTGCACGGCGGCTTGTACGGCAGACGATCCAAAACGGATCCGCAGTGGTAGCGCAGGCAGAGGGTACCCACCGAGCTTTGTAGACGTGGGTGTATTGACACAGGGAGACCATGAGACCCCTCTGGCAGAAAAAACCAGTCACAAATGGGATTTTGGGAGTTCTATTCTTCTATTGCAAATTGCACAGATATTTTTTCAGTACCACTTGAGGGAATTCTGTCCCATCCAACCCACTTTGAAAACAGCGCATATATTCCTAGCCTTCCGTCCCATCCAGGCAGTGGTCTCGGAAAGGTCACACTCTCCGACGAAGGCGATGCAGCCGGGGCCTTGGCATCGAAACCACCAGAGCCATTGAAGACAGAATTTCCAGTGCACAAGCAACATGCTTCAACCAGGAGTCACTGTTCGCCCATTCGAGGTTAGGGGCAGTGCCCAGTTCTTTTTTCACTCACATGGGACCAAAAAACCACCCCGACATCTGACTCCAGACCACATGCTTCCAGGTTTCAACACGTTTAAAGCACCGAAAGTTCCAGGTGCTGCGATCCCGGTCACGCGGTGAGCAGGGGTCACGGAAGCCATGTCTGTGGCACTCACCGTCCCGTCGGAGGGGTCCAACGAAGAGACGTTCACCATGTCACGACCCGGTGTTTTTCAGCCGATACCGTTGAACTCAAGGGATGCGCGCAGACCCTGCACAAGTCGTGTTACCCGATGTGTGCGTTTTTTGATGTTTTTTGTTTGTTTTTTGCCAAGCGGCAAGAGGTAGCACGGCATTGACGGATACGGATGTGTGTTCCACGCACAACCCGGTCGACTGGTCGGTCTCAACGACCGAGGTCTCTCGCCTCAACGAGACGCGGCAACCCGCGCCCACGGGCTTTGGCACGCCCCCTGACGGAGCAAGTGACCGGCACCGGCCGTTCCGTTCCAGGCGTTGCTTGGTGATTTCTGAAAAGAGTCACCGGAGGTCAAGGATGGATGCTTGAACATTTGTGCATGGAAAAGTCCATTTGCTGATTGGTGAGTGTTTCTGTAGCGGGATCGGCAAACTTGGATGCGTGGAACTGTTCAGTTTGGCTAGTGACGGAACTGCCTTCCAACTCAAAAGAGAGGTGGCCTGGAACTGCACGGAGTTCTTGTTCACCACTGTACAAGATTTTGTTGGCGAATCCAACTGCAGAAACATCGTAATTTACCCCATTACATGTTGTTTGCTTGAGCAATTTCGTGACCTTGCAAGAGTATAGTTTTAATCTTTGTTTCTCCAAGGGAGGCATTGTTTGTTCAGGTGAAGTAGATTTTGGTACGGTAGTGCTATGTATGTTTAAATCGGATAAACACGTATGACGCGGGAGACTGCAGTCGTTTGATTCATCAATGTGGAAGTTGGGAGAAATGTGGGTGCGAAAGTATATAATCTTGAAGGATCTGCGGCACTTGGTTTACACAGCATAACTTAGGTTGGAACCAGATTCCTTTCTTTTGCCGTTGGAACATGCAATCTATACAATTTAAGGATGTCACCCCAATCGTTTGCTCGAAGAAGAGAGTGCTGTTGGAAACAAAAACTCACAATCTCTCATAGCATTCGAACGTTGCTAAGATTCCATGACAGGGATATCAAACGGTTGACCCGAATGCTGTGTCAGGTGTCTCAATTGCGGCACATCACGAGAGGATGCAACGCAGTGTGGCCAATAGAACTAGAGTGCCACTGGCAATACAATGGGAACTCAAGCGAGTCAAGTACAATGGAACCCGGTGGTGCTGCTTCTGCCTGAAAGGCCTCAATTGGCCATTGAAGGTGTGTAAGTCAATGGTGCACAGACTATATCGAGAGGCAAGAGAATGCGACAAAGTAGCTGGAAAGGCATGAATGTGTGCCATTTCAGGATGAAAGAAATTGGCGGTACAGTATTGTCTGGAGCCAGCAGCAAAGTTGTCAATTTCTGCAGCAAAGTGGTCCGCAAAGTCTCCAGTTCAGTGCCAAGGCCAAGGTCTCCAGTCATGACCTCTCGTGCGCGCTCATGACTTCTCGTGAAGGCAATGTCTTCTCGCAGTGGTGCCATGGTTCTCCGAGCTTTGGCAGCTCGATCAGGTGCCGACGTCTTTACGTTGCAGGACTGGCGTGGAAGCGAAAACGAAAGCGAACCTGGGTGGAAGGAGCATAGCCTGGTGGTTGACAAGTAAACAGTTTCTGCAACACATCAAAACTAGGACGATGTTGAAACTTGGCAGGAACTACAGCTTCCAGATTAATTCTATTTCATGCTGATGCATGACATACTTAGGGGCAGTGACAATCTTGGCACAAGATGCCCAATTTGTTTTTTGGAACTACTCTCAATACTGCCGCCAGTTCTGCCCGTTCGGAACGCTTTGCAAACCTGGTGCCCATTCTCGTCTGGAACACCGACATAGAACGACCCAGCCTGGCGGACTTCCGGTTGATCCCCCTGGAACCTGCGGAAGCCGTACAGATCAGAGGCATCAAGCTTTGACAGGTCGTAATGGAATGCAGGTTGGAAGGCCAACTTAATGATCAAGCCTAAGGATCCTTCGACCCTCCATAGCAGGGGTCGAACCTCTATACCAAGGGTTTGTAACCTTAAAACCCTGGTTTTTCGGGTCCGGATCCTTAGGCAACATGGTGAGCTTCCCAGCACGGCTGGAAGGTCTGTCCACTGCTGGATTCGAGGGATGAGAGCCAGGTATCTCGGACAGAAAACATCTGAGGAAACCTGCGCAGCTCATCATCTGACCAGTAACTGGATACTGTTCATGTCTTCTGAATCCACGCGCGTCTCCGCACAAAGTGAGTTTCGGGCAGGTATGTACGCGCCAACGCTGATGCTTCTGGCATGGTCATTCCTCTGGCATCCGGAATCCCTTGTTGTTGACCTGCCCCTCACCACGAATGACATGGGGACCTTGTCCAAATCTCCTAAGCGTGGGGGCCACATCCCGCTGCGATGCAATGTCATCGGTGTGTGCCCGAACCATGATATCTTCGATCTGGTGGATGTAAAGGAAACTTTCATGGTGGTTCAAACAATGTTCCAAACAACCCGCACAGCCTCCAAAAACAACGTGCACCTTAGTTCTGTCGAGGATTTCGGATCAGATCTGTCTCCCTGGTTCAGGCAAAGGACAAGTTCCGGGCGGGCAAAATTCTCTTGGTAGGGAGGAAAGATCAACCCTGTGTGCTTCCAAAAAAAGAAACTCCATACGGTGCAACTGTCGGACAGTGCGCTGGTCTTGGATGTCCTGGCTGGGAAACTCATGTCCAATGATTCTTCCCTTTATCAAATTGGCAGTGACACCAGTTGATGAGAATTCCAGATTCCTCAACAGAACGTTTTACAGGCTGTGCTCCCCCAAGATATTGTGAATGTGATCAACAACCTCAAAACGCTTGAGAATGTCAATCAACGGTCCGCTGGGGGCCGCCATCCCATCTCACCCCCAATTCCCGACATCTACCGACCAGAGACCGGTGCGAGGTTTTCTCAGCCGTTTTCGTCTTGACAAATCGACCCAACTTGTCAGACTGTCAGATTGTTCCAAACAGGTCGAAAGGGGAGGTGAGGTGAAATAGGGCGAAAACGTTGAAAGTCTTGAAAGTGAAGAAAACAGCCCAAAAAGCCCATGCAGAGTGTCCAACATCTCGATAGATCTCCAAAACCTAGGCCAGATCTCAGCGGATGGAGTTTCTTGGGTCGAGAGGCAACCTATAAGCTCTTGGCCAGGGCCCAAGCAAAGCTGGTGCCTTGTGCTGGGTTTGTGCAGTAGAGTTGGAGCGGAAAAGTTGAATATCAGTGTGAAAAAAGATCTGGTTCTCCAAGATAAATTGATTTCATCCCATCCCACTCGTCCCAGGAAGATTTTTGTACTGTTGACTGTTGTTGAATAACCTCCCTACCTGACTGGATCAAGCGGTTGCATTTGGGGGATTACATTCATCAACAAAGGAACAATATCAATAATGAATATTAATATTACATTCTATCTCATTGCTTGTCCTTTTCCCATGGCACTTATCAGGACTCTCCATGACCGTATCTCAGTGTCAATTGCTGGGCCACAGATGGAGACCCAAATGAGGGAACACCGGGAACACCAGCAGAAACGGTGCCAAGAGGACGTTTCAGGGATCACATCCAAATTATATAGATCGCTGATTTTGGACATATGGAACGATGTTGGATGATTTTGGCGGGGCGATGACAGTTTGTGAGGCGGAACCTTCATGAAACCAGCAACATCAGCAACACATGTTCGGATGACTCCGGAGTGACTACCCGACTTGATTTGGGTGCCCTGATCCCGACCGGCGACCAGTCCGACCGGAGACCAGTCGGACCATGGACCTTGCGTTCTTTGCTCGATCTCTCGTGGCACAAGGACCGGAGTTTGATCCCTGCCATGACCTCACTGGTGATGGGTGGGTGACCCAGAGAAGAGGTGAAGATGGTGAAGATGGAAGAGGAGAGCAGTAGCAGGCATAGCAGGTATGCCACAGGCAGTAACTGTAGTCTTGATGCGCCTTTTTGGGGGAATGGTTTTCTTGTCCAAAAGAAAGAATAAACAAATATATTTTTATATATTTTGAAGATTCTAAGGACCTGTGGATTGAATATGATTGAGCTGTTGGGCTGTTGCTTTCTATTGCACGTTGGTAAGGCTCTTTGTTTGCCTGCCGAAGCCATAGCTACGAGTGTACGCACGAAAAGCTCACAGACGCCTTCGCATGTGTGCTAAGGTCTTCGAGTTTACCCTGGAAACACAAGCCTGCCCATCACCAACACGCTGAACCTTTGGTCAGTGCAGGTGGGAAGAGTGGCATTTCACGTTGGACCTGCCATTCCTGCTCTTCATTGTCAGTGCAAGTCCCCCGGTCGGGGATGAACTGATGAACCAATAATTCTACAAAATTCTAGAGTTTGATGTGGCTGTGGGTCAAAACCTGAAGGTTGACCATGTATTCTATTCTGACATGTTCGCTGGTCAACCCGGGTAGCCTGGTTTTGACCTACAGCCATGTGACGTACCAGCAGGCCTCGCTGGGCCTCGCAGATGGCCCCTAGGGTAGGGTGTCGAAACTCGATGGTGGGTGGTGTACGTCAGTGAGACCCCCCGGTCGCCCTCGCTGGGTAGTTTTGGTCGCTTTTTCCGATCCTGAAAAGGAGGTCGATCGAACTGGGAGGTCGCCCTAGCTTAAGACATACTCCCTATAGCTTAATGTGTTTGCTTTGTGTCTTTGTGTCATCTTCCACTCTTGTCCTTGGTGCATCCTTGGGATGGACAAATCACAGAAGACTTGATCCCTGAAGACTCGAGGACTTGTGTGATCCTGAAATTCACTGCTGACCCCGAGGGGCAACATTCAGTTTCTTCCATGACTTAGCCGGTTTGAGCTTCGGTCTTCATTCTTCACTTCGGAGCGCCAAGTCGGCTCACTTTCAGGCCGTCGGCTTTCGGGTTCCGTCGGACTCGAGAGGTCGGTCCAACCAACCGGTGTTTTACACCGGGACTGTCCGTGTTTTAGTTTGTTGGAAATCGCAGTGACCAATTCGTCTTGGACTTCTTACACAGTAGTTAGGGTCTGCAGGGTTCGTTGCATGCTTGGCGTTTGTCAAGTCTGACACCACCCGCAGGGCCTTGCAGGCCCTCCGGGGGTCCTGCACAGGTCTTTTCTCCTGGAGATCACAATGACACTGTGGTGAACTTCAGCGTTTGCCACCAAGTCTGGCGTAGTTATAGGTGAGCCTTTGTCATTGATGCAGGGCAGAGAATAAGGGCAGAGTCCCCGAGTTTGTGTTGCATTTCCGCCAAGTAAGATAGCATTTGTAGGACACATGCCAATGATGGTATGGCGGGCTGGAGCTTTTGGCCAGACAATATCTAGAACTTCGTTTTGAACATGGCAAGAGATCTGGATTGTGACCATGCTCTCTAAATACAGTTGGCTCGGACCATTTGCAAGGTTTCTTGCACAATGAAGAACTGAGGTGACTGATGGACAATCTCCCCCTGACCTCTAGCAACCTGTCACACGGAAGAAGTCCTTATATACTTTCCAAGACTGTCTATGTGGGAAAAAAAAGGGTCCCATTTGGGTTTGTGCATCCGCACTCAGTTGAACAACACATTCCGACAGGCACCCTCTTGTCAGGAGCCATGTGACCGTCGTCATCCCCCATCCTTTGCCTCAAAGTGGCTTAGTATTGCGAACGCTGGTGTGACTTGTAAGGAGCAAATAGATCGTGAGGAGTCCGCAGTGCAGGGTCATTCCCTCATTCCATCTCATTCCGTATGAGTCGCACCAGTCCCAAAAAGCTTCGCCACGCGCCCATCGCTGATCGCCGGACGCGCGGATCGAGCGTCCACGCGTGCCCCCGCACCGGTGAAGAACGGGGGGGGGGGGCCAAGGCCAAGTTCTACCGGACGGGCCTGGGCGGCGTGCCGGTGTTGGGGCGCTTGCAAAACGCCCGGGACCCCGGTTGGACCCGGTGGGCGTTTTTTGGAGCCAGGGATCAGAGCAAGCAAGCAGGTGCAGGGAAAAGGCCAAGCAATTTCTGAGATCTGGTCTGATCAAGTCATGGAGAGAAGAAACCTTATAGTATTTTAAGACTTCCTGCCTTTCTGAGGAAGAACTGCTACACTTCTGTTCGCTTGCCTTCACACGTCTCGCCTGCGGGAGCACCCCAGGCTCTGATCCAACCAGTCGACCCAATGGTCTCCAGCGCGGTTCCCATCATCCAACCGCTGGGGGCCTCAGAGCTCAGTGGCGGATGGAAGAAGTCCTCTTGAATGTTGGAGCCCAGAAAACAATGCACAAGAATAGAGTCTTTGACTTGTATTTACAAGTGCATCGCTACCAGTAACAAGTGCATTACTACTAGTTAACAAGAAGCTACTAGTAACAAGGTGCATCGCTACTAGTAGCAAGTGCATTATTACTATAATAGTTAACAAGAAGCTACTAGTAGCGATGCACTTGTTACTACATAGCCAGGTCTTTGCTCATCCGCTAATGATCTGAAGAAGCACTCGTACTCTTCAGGTCCTGTCCGAGTCCTGTCGAAGTGACACAGACTTTCAAAAACTAACGTGCTTTCTTCTCATCGGAAGCTATACAAACAGATACCCACGTTACATGTTCATCCATGTTCAGTTCTCCCTTCTCATGGAGTTGCTCCGGGTGATGTTCTCTTTGCGCCAGAAAGGATGTTCATCCCCTTCTCAGTTTCTATGTCTTTGTCACCTTTCTCAAGGTTTGCATCCTTCATCAGGTTGTCCATCTTCTTCCGCGCGGTGGAGGATGTCCCGGCCGGCGGGTCGGTCGACGTGGAGGCGCCTTTTTTTGGCGTCGACGCGGAACCGACGGACGTCACGAGTCGGTCGGAAGCGAACGGTGTTCTGGTGCTTTCAGGGTTGTCAGGTTGGGGAAGGACCAAGCAGGGCAACAAACTGGGTGCCCAATCTGCAGGTGAGCAGGCCAAGTGAAATGTTTGTCCTGTGGTCCAAGCTTGTTCCGATAGGACTGCGTGACCCTAGCAGGGAAAGCGATTCTCAGCCGTCAGCCGTGGACCGCGGAGACCGCAGTCAAGTGGTTGGCAGCTGATGGTGAGCCAAGAGCTTCAAAACTGGGGTGGCCACTGCACAGCACTTCGCATGCTAAACCTCGTCCCCTATGGGGATTGTTTGAAGTATGTCAGTGAGTGGGAGGGTAGTTCAAGAACTTCAAGTGCACTTCAAGTGCATACTTCCCTATACCTGTCACATATCCTAAGCCTCATGTCAAGCTTTCAGGGTACTCCCGTGCGATCGATGATATCAGCGGACACACCCTGTCGGTCAACGTTGCAGATGTTTCCACACCGTGCAGGTTTTCCTAACTCGTCGCGCTTGGGGCTCAAAGCGTCTTAGGTCTTTGTGAACGTGTTCCTACTTTGGAGGCATATAAAAGTAGAGAATCAAAGTATTTTCAAGCTGGGCTGTCCGTTGAACAAGAGGGCAGTCCCTTGAATGCTGAATTTCATTGACATTGAATCACTGTCCCTTGATAGTCCTTGGACATCTTACGGTAATCACCTTTCTCCAGAGGTGAAATATGCCCGCTCCACCAATGCCTCCACTGCCCACAACTCACACTCCGCTTCGTCCAAGACGGGGAGATGCCGGCGATCTCCTCGTCCGTGATGGCCATGATCTCCGCGCCACCCTTGCGCTGGCTGTTTTGGAAGAAAACCGGAGAAGAGCTGGAGAAAGGTTGGACATGGCGGGCTTGGGGGTTTGGATGTATGGTTGATCAACACTGTACAATGTCAATGGATGCAGTGACAGGAGAAATCCCTAGAAAGTGACACTGGATTCCCAGTAATATCTAGATCATATTAATTTAACGTAATTTGATATCCTGGCACCAGGCGTTTGTCAAGATGTTGGTTCAAGGAGGCCGAGTAAGCACCATCCATATACATCCATTTTTTGGACGATCCGTTTGTTTGTACAACGAGCAAGCATGACGTGTTTGTGTTCCAGGCGCTACTGGAAATAGGTTTCAAGATCAAGAAACACATCGCTGAACGTCCACAAACATACCTGTTACAGACCTAGGGACTGGACAAGATTCTGGGTGTCAACACAGAGTTCCGCATGCCCCTGAACGCGCTTCGAGATTCCTGCATCCCGGCAACATGTCTTTTCTCAAGAATTGAACGAATCTCATACAGATTCAGATATTGTATATGACGCATCCCATCCGACAAAGAGTTTTGACCAAAGACATGTGCTTTGTTTCCCCAGGGCTCCAACCGAGAGTGTGGTTGGGGTGGGTGCTGGTTGAGGCTCTGTGCCCACCGAACCTCAGGATATGGGACAGAAACCCTAGGGAATTGGAACTTCCCTCCAGTCTTAGGGTGGAATTTCAGGTTCACCCTGACACTCTTCTCGTGTCTCTCGGCTACATGTTCCAAGTCTTGTTGGTCCAGGTCTGGAGAAGGTCCAAGCGGTCTATGGCCAAGACGGCCCGAAATTCTTGCACTTCACCTGTCACCCAATCAAGAGGAGGCACCGCCTGGCTGGATGAGGCTGTTGGATCTGGAAGGATAGTGAATTATGAATCATTTGTGATTTGTAATTGATTTGTGTTGATTCATTTCAGAGTGATGTACTTGCTGTGGTTCTGTCTCCACTGCATATCCACATTTCGGGCATTCGAAGATCTCCGCTTTCATTTTCGCTCGAAAAGGAGCCGGAAAGCAGTTCTCCTACTTGCTTTGGGCCTTTGGCTTTGGTTGTATCCGGTGGATTTGAAGTTCCGGTGCTTGCTTTTGTCCCTGGCCTACAGCTTCGTAGAGTGCCATGGCCACAGCCGGTGGACTGACCAAACCCTGCACCAACTGTGGACCGGCTACACGGCTACACCCGGTGGTGGAGTTTGGTCCGTCGGTTCCCACCCCTAAAACCCTATAGATTTAGGAAGCCTATTACTGTGTGCGAAGTGCAGAAGTTCTGCATCTGCAGGTGTGGCTTTACCTTTTTCGAGAGAGGCAAGGCCTATACAAGCCTTGCTCAATTCCTGGGAAACTTGGTGTACATGCCTGTGCTGCTGGATTGGTACGGACACTTCCTCGGAGATTCTCCAAGGCTTTATGTCTTCCTCTTCCCGGCCGGGCTGACGTCCGACGTCAAGATGGGAGTCAAATGGAGTCAAACTGGGCGAGCACAATCCATATATGTATACATAGATAGAACCTGAGCGACCTCTATTTTGGAGGATGAACTATCCAACATATTTTTTTTTCCTACCAAAAAGGAGATTAAATGGGTTATAGGTGGATAGTAAGGTCTTTCTTTTAGAGAACCAACACCAGAAGGAGAAGAAGGTTCTCAGATGGTCGGGTCTAAGTTCTGAGCTAATTCCCAAGTCAGTGCATCTCTAAATTCTTCCAACATCATTCCAATCCAGCCATACCACCAGTTGTCAATATCTTCACCCTGTGCCTTGCAACGGCCATGTCATGTGGTCGGCCATTTGCTCCTTGTTGACGTTCTAAGAGAGTCCACATGTTCCACCGGGAACATGAACAGGTGAATATTTGGCTCTTGGAGATCGCACAGGGCTTGGCCATCCAATGGATTTTCGGCCAGAATGTGGCCTGGTGCTATGCTGACTACGCGGATGAGCTTCTCACCTTCATTCGTCTTGGCCATGCCATTTGGTGGCGACTTGGACTTAGTCCAAATAGACTCAAAGGTGATCCAAAGCGATGTCGATCTTATGTCTTATAATAATGTTCTACTGTAAACCAGGGAGCAGACGCGATCCCAGCGACAGTTAGCAAGATTCGTAAAGCAAGAAACACAGAAACAAAACATGATCTAATTCATATGTTTCGATCTGTTGTTAACCAAGAGTGTTACCTGTACAACGCATGGAGCAGATGTTGATCCCACAAAAGCCACGAAAGCCACGAGGTGGGGCCTTGGCCTGGTCCTTTGGTTTCTGTACCCTGCCATCTTCATGTTCAGCCTTCGTGTGGCGAAAGACGTCACCTGACAGTCGGACAAAAGTCACCTGTCCACCTGTCCTGGCAGAGATGGAGCTACAGTCGAGACGGTGGCGCAATGGAGCTTGTGATGCTAAGATCTCCCACCCTACAGAGACCTTCGATCCGATCGCATGTTGAAGACGGTGGCGGTCGATGTCGAGCCCCTCTCGTCCCTGGCCTCATCCTGGGATCCACTGCCGCGATGGCAGTCCAAAAAGAAGCGCAAAAAGATATGGGATGGATGAACACGCCCAGGTACAATCGTTTGTTCATAAAACTCACTGGGAAAAGGTTCGACAGGATCCACAGCCAACTAAGAAGGGACCACATCAAGTGGCTCACCTATCTCAGGCGAATGGTGGATGGTGAAAGGATCAGTTCTCTCTCTCTCTCTAACTCCTTCTGTAGCATGCTGTAGCTTTTTGCACCAAGAACAGTCACAAGTATCCTCACATCAGAAGTATCCTCCCATGGTGATCACGGTGACCCCACCTTCTCCTTTTCGCACCTCCAATGGTTGGAGGCTCTTGGAGGCTCTCGGAGGCTCGTTTTCCCCTCAGTTCCTTCCCAACTCGAAAGGCTGCCTCTGTCTTTGACTTCGGAGACCCCTGTGCAGCCATTGACCTTGATGCTGGGCTCGGAGACTCAGAGATTGGCAGGTTGAAAGGTGGTTGAAGGATGCTGGGTGCCCTCATGGTCCATTTCTTTCCATCTCCAAAGAACGCCCTCATGAGCCTCACACCAAATCCTAGCTACACACTCAAAGAATTCCCTGGGTTTGCAGCAAGGAGATGCAAGGGGTATGTTTGATCGATTTTCCAGCCTTATTCTTCAAGGCGATGTGTACTATAATACTACTGGTAGCTTTTTTCAGCGAGGGTTTAGGGGGTGACATGAACCCGCTATTTGTATTGAGCTCACTTCCAGCTTGATTGGTCTTGCAGGTCTGGTTCACGAGGTAGCGCAGACATGAAATACAAATCTCGTAAAATAATGGTTTTCGATCCTGCTGTGCAACAACTAGGGCAAGAGAAGAAGAAGGTGAGCCTTGGTTTGTAGCAAGTCTAAGGTTCCCCACACACCTCCAGATAGTCTAGCCCAGGAATTGCTTCTCGAAACAAGAGGAAGAAGAACGGAATTCAGGAATTCCGTTGAATTGCTTTGGTCATCATTCCATCCCGCAAAAATCCGCATCTTTTTGGATTCAGGATTTGGACCAATGTCTTCACAAATGCAAGATCAGGATCCAGGTACTCACCCCCCCCAGTGTGGGGGGCTCCCTTTGGAGCTTCAAGCCCTTGGTGCTCAAGTCCTTGCGAATGATTAGTCCAGCCAACCCCTTGAGTCCCCGCCCGGATGTCACCTCTGCCCAGGTACTACGTCACCGGCCCAGTTCTTGCAGTGAACCGACTCCCCAAGATGGTTGGCAGGACCCTGAGTCCATGAAAGGTGAAAGGGCGGTGGTGAAGAGAAAGAAGGGCACACAACATAAATAGTCATCATTGATATGATATGATTAATGTGGCCTTATCGACTCAAGGTCAGCGGCGAAATAGTGTACATAGGACGACATAGGCGCTGCCCATAACCCATAAATATTAGTAGCTTCTTGTTACTCGTAGCGATGGCCTCCTAGCTAGCGATGGCCTCCACCCTGATAGCGATGGCCTCCACCTAGTAGCTTCTTGTTACTAGTTACTAGTAGTAAGGCGCCTTGCTCCTTTGAACACCAATGTGCTGCCCAGAACCGATCTTAGGCACATAAAACCATTCATTTGCGCCACTACCGAGTGTCCCAACAAGCTGACCCCCATGTCCCACAAGGGCTTTGGGGGACCCTCCCGGTCCCGGCTGTGCTTCACCTGCTGCGCTTTCGTTTGTTTTCGCCCCAGACGTCGCAGCTCAGCGACGTCGCTCGCTCCTCAGGTTGTCAGAGCCTCAGGGAGAGTGGACGGACCTCTGGGCCCTACAACATTGCGCGCATCTTTGTGCAGGGGCCGTCTGGAAGCTTAGTTTGGGGAAGATGAGGGATCCGGCGAGGAAGCAAACAATGTTGGGGGGTCGTTGGGGAGGTCTCAAGTGGCCTTTGAAGGGTGCAACAAAGCTTCTGAGAAGGTTGTGGATTTAGATGGTTGCTTTACTGTAGGAATCGCAACTTCTGAACACTCTTGGTGCAAAAATCAAACCGTACACAGGCCAGAGATGTTTTGCTTGACCACGTTTGTCGACAAATGTGTCTTTGGGATCGGATCAGTTTGGATCTAATCGCTTGGTCAGTTGGAGATTGGATGTTTTTCCAGATTGATGAGTTCAAGGCCATCACACGCCAACTCCTTGGGTGGCAGAAAGCACAGTGACCGGTTAAGGCTCAAGGGCGAGCTGATTTATGGCTTCTCGATCTCCGTGCGAAACCCCACCCTGCAGGAAGTCGCTCAGGTGCACGTTTTCCCGGGTGACACGATCCTCGGTCTGTGACGATCCTCGGGGGGTTCCATATTACATATATGGTTGAACAAGGCAGGTTTGGGCTGATTGTCCACGGGTTGGGGCAAGGTTTGAGGAAGTTTTCTCTGAATTTGCATTCAAAGTGCTGTCAACTCAATGAGCTGTGAAGGAAGCACATCAAACTTTGCCGAAGATACCTCCATGCGATCCCTTTGACCCTTTCTGAAGCGGATGTGAGCTGGTCTTCCGGACATTCGTGCTAAGAGGTGGCTGTAGGTCGCTTCGTTTGATGAATCATCCAGTCTTCCCAAGTTGCCCAAGCCTTTGAACAGAAGAACTGATTACCATTGTTTCAGAGTAGATGGCACAAACCCAAAGATGTCCTTGATATGGGGGGTCCATATAAACAACCTTTTGGGGATTGTCCCATCTACTCTGAAACCATTGTAAAGTTGAAGACGCTATTGTTGTAGCTCGCCAAGGGCAACAAGACCCGAAGCGGCCGACCAAGCTGGTCCTTTTTGAACACAGGCTTCTCTCAACTACTCCAATCAACCTTAAGGCTTAAAGATCAGCAACATGTGTTATTAGTTGGATGGTCACATGTGATTCTGAATTCATCCGTTAAGATTGAGGTGTTACCAATTGCCACCATGGTCATAGTCTGTAAATATACGTGATGCAGGGCTGATAATATGGTGACAAGTGAAAGCAGCTCGTGTCAGATAGCTTAACATGGTGAATGATGATGGAATCATTCTTGCACAAGCCCAGCCAGCCCATCAGACTTAGTAACTTAGTATTCATGGGCCGATCCCTAGCAAGCCCATTTGGTGAGGCTTGCTCCTAGTTCAACTCCATTGGACATGGCTCCTAGCGGCCCTAGGGTGCGAATCGCAACCAGCTGGGCCGCAGCCAGCAGCCAGCCTCTCCGCTCCTTGCCGCTGCGTCAGATCTTGTCGGTCAATGACCCCTGGTCATCAGTCGCCAGAGCCTCAGCTGTTGGCCGAGGCAAGGCCTTTTTTTGGGGCCGCCTGGCACAACCCTGGTAGCTGCTGGCTTTTGTGGATGTCGATTTTGTTCGTCCCCTCAGTTTGCTGGAGCCATTCGTTTCAAGAGATGCGAGATGGGTGTTCCACCCATGTCGACAGACTTGCTTCTCACGCGTGTTCCATTGTCGCCAAACAAGTCAGACATACTTTATGTGTCTATCAGGCGAATCAGATCCTGAGTATCCATCATCCTCCACAGCAGGCGGCCACTCCTTCCCCTGTTTAGAGGGACTTTGTGGTAGTGTTGACGAAGAGGGTCACCCAAGGCACCTAGGATTCTCTTACAGCATCATGGGGGGGCATCCTACACTCCTTGGAATCATCATGGAAGTGGAGTTCACCACCTGTTTGGCATTTGGAAGATGGTCATCCGAAATCGGGGCTGTGTCTGCACGTATCCATGATGATTCCAGGGAGATTCATCGGGGCCTTTCTTCATTTGCAAGAAGAGTTTGATTCGACCTGAGCAGGACTCGGAGCCCAACTACTTGACCTTGTGTGGATGACCAAGAGCTTGAGAAGCTTTCCCACCAGCTGGCATAAACCACTGATATCCCCTGATGCTTTGCTTTTGTTGGTCGTCATGCTGGTTTTTTCGGATGTGTTTGCCCAGTGGTATCTTGAACTTGTATGCAACGTGATTGTCTACAAAAAGTGGCCAACATCCATGTGGTTCTTCTCTCGGCTTGTTGCAGAAAACCCTTGCAAATTCGACCCGACTGTCTTTGAAACATCAAGTGGTACCAGCAGTTCCATGTCAGGGTGCCGAACTTGGAGGATAGGTTGCCCTTGTCACATCTTCAAAACCGTTCGGTTGGAACTGCTGGTCCAAACCGGCCTTGAGGATTGGAACCTGACCACGCGTGGGCCTGCAACTTCGGCCTGTTAAGATGGGATCCTTTTTTTTGAGGTCCGTGAAACATCCGCCTGCCACGCTCCCTGACCGATCCCTTGATGTTCGATTGATTTCCCAGTATGAAAGGGTTGATAGAAATGATACGATTCGCATGCCCCTGGCACAATCGAGAAGTGAACAGGTCAGTGTATGTGGCAAGTAGTTCGCTTGTGGCATGTTGTACTTTCTTGGGTTGTGTGTGGCGTGACCATGAGTGTCCATAGTGATGTCATTCTTTGCGAGTGACACAGATATAAGGTGGAAACAGTTTAGGTTTGCTCTCCCACTCACAAACACGGACGTCGAACGCCTGCTGTTCATAGGGGCAACACTGGCTTCCACGGGCCTATGCCCATCCACATCCATGTTAGCGGGTCACAGTGTGCCTTGCTCGACTTTGCTTGTTGAAAGGGTGCTCGATCAGATACACTGCACGCACCGTCGTTGCTAGCTGCTTGATTCGGTTGAGTTCAGAATATGTTTTACGCCATGGAATCCCGCCAGCCAGCTGCGCTGGCTAATGGATCCCTTCCCTTCAGAAAGATGGATCCCACTCTCTGTTTGAGATCCTTACTCTGGTCGGTTGGAGATGGATCCTACTCTGATGGATCTTACTCTCATAGAAGATGGTACTTATGTGTCAAAACTTGGTTGACCTACCCGGAAGGTGGAAAGCCCTTGTTCCGGGTTTTGACCTCTTCCAACCCCACTTTGCCAGGAAGGATCTCCAGTCTGTGCCACCTATGGAGGAGCTCCTGGTGCACCGGACGGCACCGGTTCTTGGCAACTGGACGGCACCTCATGGTGTCCGGCTTGCTGTTCGACTTGGCGGGGAGAAAGGGAAAAACTCATGGTGTCCGAGCTGCAGAGGAGTTAGGATCTGCAAAGGCCAGGAGCCCCTAGTAGCGTCCTTGCTCCTAGTAGTAAGGCCTAGTAGCGTCCTTGCTCCTAGTAGCGATGCCAGGAGCTCCTAGTAGCTTCTTGTTCCTAATAGTAAGGCCAGGAGATGCCAGGAGCTACGTTCGTAGCGTCCGATCGCTCCGTTAGCGATGCCCTTTGTTACTAGTAGCTTCTTGTTACTGGAGCATGTGTTGTCTTGGAAAAGAGGTGACCAGGACCACTATGTTGAATTTGCAGCTTAGACCGACCGAGCTTCTGGTTTCGTAAGTGCTGTAGCTTGGAGCACTTGGAGTGAAGACCCGACCATGTTTAAGTCTTTAAGTGGATTCGATTCGATCAGCGTAGAGTTGCGCATGAAGCAGCGATTTGGTGAGACCAGTTTT